ATGAAAGACATTTTCAGACAAAGAGACTATTTCTGGTAAACCCTTTAGGTAGGAGATGCATGAAGAAATAACCAAAATACTACATATGAGTAGATGACTTTTGATTTAGGAAACAGTGTAGTGTCTTGCTGTGTAGTATGTACACGTGTATAAGGTCCATACATACTTTAGGCAGAAGAGAAAATAAAAATGTTAGATGATGATAAGATGTGAACTTTGTAATACCTACAGTAGTCAAAGAATAGTAAAAATGCATATGCCTATCAAGATAGGAGAGGAGGAAAAAAAAGGACAAGAGAAAAGTATGGAATAATCAGTCAAAACTAAGCCAGAAAAGGAAAGCAAATTAACAAAGAACAACAGGTAAGATTTAAAAACACCTATAATCCTAGGCAGGAGGATCTCTGCAAGTTCAAGAGCAGCCTGAACTACATTGCAAGACCCTGTCTCAAAAAACCAAAAAAAAAAAAAGAAAAAATCTTGGTAATTTGTGGATGTACAAATACATTCACAGTTATACTAAATATAAACTAACAAAATGTCCAAAACTATAAGGCAGTTTCAGATTAGATAAGAAACAAAATAAAAAAATCTGCTATTTGCTTTTTATTTTATTTTGTTTTGTTTTGTTTTGTTTTGTTTCCAAGAACATTTTTCGCTATGTTGCCCCAGCTGGCCTTGAACTCTCCTGGGCTCCAGCATTCCTCCTGCCTCAGCCTGCTGAGTAGCTGGGACTACAGGTGGGACACGGCACACCACTGCATCCGTTTGCTTTTTATGAGAAACTTCAAAATCTTGGGTATATAAAAAGATTAATGGGAAAAGATGTGTCGTACAAAGATAAACCAAAGACAAGTTGATATAGCAGATAATTTTTTTTTTTTTTTAGCGGATACTTTAAAGGTGGAAACTTCATAAGCCGCTCAATCTAAAAGATCTTAGTGCTATATTTATATGCACCATAAACTTACATAAAAAAATTCAAATTAATAAATCCAGAGTGGGAAATTTCAATCTTTAATTGATAAAACAAATAGACTGAAAATTAATAACATAGATCAGTAAGATTAAAATAACAAGAATTAACAAGTGACTTTATGGAGACTATGGAACATTATATGCAGTAATACACATTCTTCGCAACCATTCAGAGAAAAAATTTTAATTGGCTAATTAGATTGTGTCAAGCAAAATCTCAAATTTCAAAGGATTGAAATCCTACAAGATAACTGTATAATCCCAATAGTTAATCTAGAAAACATTAGTTACCAGAAAAATCATGTTTAGAAGTAAAGAAATGAAGCTCATATGAAAACTAAGTGCACTGATGTAGGTATGAAAGACATTATTGAGACAGATGGCATAGTAATATGGTCTGTGGGTTAGATGCAATATTGTATCAATGCCAGTTTACTTGAAATTAGCAAGTGTGCTGTGTTTTAGTAAGAGACTCCCTTATTTTGAGGAAATGCACACTGAATTCCTAAGTGGTTACAAAGATATGAGCAGACAAAATTTGAAAAACTTTGATCTATATAAAGGTTTGTGTGAGGCCAGTACTTTTGCAAATTTCACTTCAAAATTATTTTAAAATAAAGTTAAAATAAATTAATTAAATCAAAGAAATTCTAATGGCTGTTAGAAATATTTTTATCTGAATGGTGGTGAAAATATGTATCAGTGAAAGCTTGAGGTTTATAACTGAAGCCATGATTAGAGCAAACACCCCCAGCCCAAAAATATATTATGTTTAAATATATATATTACATAGTAAGTATAAAAAGTTAGTCCACGAAACACTTATCTCAAGTTAGGAAAGCAGCAGATAAACTCAAAGTAGGTTTTAAAAGGCACACAATAAAGACAGGTGCAGAAATAGTCAAAGCCAAAAATTGAGTGGTTACCAAATGAAATGGTCAGATCTCTTTGAGTCATTAAGAGAACATTTGCAAGGCCGGGGATTGATTGATTGATTGATTGATTGATTTTTTCTGGGGCAGGGATTTAGCTCAGTTTTTCCGCCACCTGTCTTGCAAGCTCAAGGTCCCGAGTTTGATCCTGATACCAAAAAAAAAAATGAGACCATCTGCCTACATAAACAATGCAAATGTGAAAGGCCTTAGTACATATCCTAAAGAAATTGAAAAAGATAGAAAGGGTATCAGTTATTTGAAAGGTTTTACAAGAAATGAGAAAATTGTTATAAAATTGAAACAAATATAAAATAGGAAATCAAACTAGTCCTTTAATGTAAATCTACAGTTTAAAGCTTTTCCACACAGAACTACAGATCCAAATGACTTCACTAATGAATATAGAAAATAGTTCATGTAAATTTAATACTTTTCTTTCATAGACTTGTCTGGGGAATAGTAAAAGAATGAATTCTGAGTTCTTTTATAAAGCCAGCATAAGCTTTATACCAAAAGCTGGTAAGGAATAGAAATGAAAAATTACAGGCCAGTCTCATCCATCAAGTGAATGTAAAAATTCTAAGAAATAGGAAACTAAACCCAGTAGTATTATCATTTTTCAGTTAATCACAACCAAGTTGGCCTTATTTTAAGAATATAAAATTCATTTAGTATCCCAAAGTAATTCATGGTATCATATTAGAAGAATAAAGGAAAAATTACTTAACCATCTCAGTAGAGGAAGGCAAAAACATTCAATAAAAACTAAACATATATTAATGACAAACTCTTAGCAACCTACGAGTAAAAGGGAATTTCCTGTATCTGATTATCTATTAAAATATCTAGAAAACATCATAATTAATGGAATATTGAAAGTGTATATTGAGATTAAGAACAACATAGGATAACCATTTCGATCATCTCTTTTAACAGTATATCATACTAAAGTCCCAGGGTAATAAAGAAAAATGTTTAAAAGATTTAGAAAGAATTTTTTTTTTCTTTTGGTACCGGGGATCAAACTCAGGACCTTGTGCTTGCAAGGCAGGCACTGAAACCACTGAGCACAGCCCAGAAAGAATTTTTAAATGTCATTATAGTAGGCGATGTGATTATGTACCAAAGAAATCTAATAGAAATATTGGGTATTCCTTTTTTTATAACTGGCAACATTATTTATAGTACTGACTTAATTCATTTACACATTTAAATTCACATCATGTAAAATATATTTAGAAATACTGTATATATTTTATTAAAAATATAAATACAACTATATAGTCTACATCATTGCCTATCTTCTAAGAGCTTTTGCATTATATTGCATAGTTTGCTAAAGTAGATGGTCTTCATTTCCAAGTTAATAAATATTTCCGTGCTGTACAAGAGTTGTGTGAAGCTTGATCACATAGTACATCATGTTCTTACTCCACCCGCCTCCTCAGTTTATTATGGACTCATATGTTTGTGTCTTCTGCAAATATACCTATTGTTTAAAAGTGATCTTTAAAGTGTTTATTTGCAGTAAACTTTCATACTTTTGAAACTGTAAAATAGTTAATAAATCTGTAAATATATCTTAGACTACTTTTTGACAGATAAGCTGGCAAATAAGCCTCTAAAGCTGCCAGATAAGCCTATCAAAACCAAGTGATAGTCGTGTCTTTCTTAAACTTCTGAAGTAATTGCAAGTGTCCATCAATAATATCTATACACTTCCTTTTCTTGTTGTCTTTTTGAGACAGGGTCTCACTATGTACTGCAGGCTGGCTTTGAACTGGGTAATGCTCCTGCCTCAGCTGCCCAAGTGCTAGGATTATGGGCATGTGCCACTAGGTCTGGCTTAGGATCATTTTAAAAATTAGTACATATTTGCCATTCATAATAATAATATTCATCATAGGGAATTTATACTTATGCATAATGTCTTAATGCTTCTTTTTTTTCCCACATTCCCTTCCCTTCCCTTCCCTTCAACCCTACTTCCCCTCCATATTTACAAAAGCTGTTTCCATTTATTCTTTTTCTTTTTTTTTTTTTAAATCTCTTCCTTCCCCACCCTCATTCCCCTTCCCATTTGAACATGTTCTTTGTACTTTCCAGTATCTATCCTCCGTTTTGCTCATTTACCTTTTTGGTTTCTCAAAAAAGACAAACAATGTGATATTTAACCTTGTGTATCTGATTTATTTCACTTAACATAGTCTCAAGGTGCATCCATTTACTTTAAAAAGACTCAAGTTTATCCTTATTTATGGTAGAGTAGTAGTCCATTGTATATAAATACCACATTTTCTTTATCCTTTCCTTTGTTGATCAGCATATGAACTGTTTCTAAGATTTAGCTGTTAGAAACAGTGCTACTCTGAACATAAGTGTGTATATATCACTGTGTTATGATTCTTTTCTTTCGGGAAGATAATATAGAAAGGGGCACAGCTGGATCAAGTGGAACCTCTAGTTTTAGGTTTTTGAGGAATCTCCACACTGATTTCCATAGTGGTTGTACCAACTTATACCCCCAACAACAGTGCAGAATCATTCCTTTTTCCCCACAGCCTTGCCAGCATTTGTTATTGGTTGATTTCTTGATGATAGCTATTCTTTCTGGGGTGAGATGGAATCTGTCTTGTTTTAACTTGCATTTCTCAAATGCCAGTGATGCTGAACATTTTTTCATATAGTTGCTGTTTATACTTCTTTATCAAAAGTGTCTTTTCATTTCAGATGCCCAGTGTTGTATTGGATCTTTAAATTTGGGGGGTTCTGATTTTTTAAAGTTACTTGTTTTATTTTTGTTCGGTACCAGGGATTGAACTCTGGACCTTGCTCTTTCGAGGCAGGTGCGGCGTCGCTGAGCTAAATCCCCAGCCCTGAAGTTATTTGTATATTTTGGATGTTAGTCCTTTTAGACCCCTTTCTTGACTAATAATTGAGAGACAGGGAAAACCTATATTCTAGTGTATATTGGGTATTTTAAAAGATTATTATTTACATTTTTGTAGTCTCTTTTTGATAGTCTTTAACATTTGGATTTTCCCTCATTTTATACGGATTTATATAAAACTTTATTTCTTTCTTTAGGTACCAGTTTATAGAAGAGGCTTTTCAGAATCAGAAAGTGATCATAGATACACTAATCACCAAACTGATGGAAAAAACGAAATATATAAAATATACAGGAAATCAGATCCAAAACAGGTAAATTAGCATTTATGGTAATACAACAAATCGTTTTATATAATATGTGTAATGTGTACTCATTTTGGGGGGGGGTACGAGTTTATTTTTTTTTATATATCCTTTTATTGGTACATTTTAGGTGTACAATATAATGACATTCATCATTGGAGATATGCACCTTTACGTACTCTCTTGGTTCTTATTTTTTCCCCCTTCCCCTCCCCTCTCTTCAACCCCTCTAGCCTCCCTATTTACAAGGATTTTGTTTCCATTTTCTCATTTTCTCATAGCAATTCCATTCCCTTCTTTCCTTTCCCTTACCCCTCCCACTTCCCCCTCCCGTTTGTCACCTTTCTTCCTATTTCACATTATCTATTATACCTTTTAGTCCTTATTTATACTTTCAGTTTCTCACACTAGAGAAACTATTTGGTATTTACACATGTCTGTCCTGTTTATTTCACTTAAGAGTATGGCCTCAATGTGCATCCATTTAGCAATAAATGTCTCTAATTTCTCGTTTTTGATAGCTGAGCAGTACTCCATTTTATT